GAAAAAAAGGTCAGAAACAGATGCAATAGAGCAATGTTCCAGTTTCAATCGAAACATCAGGCTGCACCTAGCTCATTCTGGGGAACAGAAGAGACTGTGAAGCAAGAGGGAGCCCCAACCTCCATCTCGCACCCAAAACTTGTTGGCTGCTGCAGTGGAAGCATTGATATTACTGTACAGCAATGCACAGACACAAAAACATACAAGTAAGCAGGCAAATGCAGAGATGAAAGCTACTGTTGATACTGTAAGAGGGCAGGAAGCAAAGAATAGTTCATCTGCATAGGAAAGGTGCAGCCATTTAGTACAGTCTTTTGTGCATGAACGTGTCAGTTGAAACTGCTTAAGTAAAGCAAATCTGTTCGAAGAGATGGAAGAATGTCCACCCAAGAATTTGCTCTGGTTTAATTAAATCAGTTAAAGATATTAATTTTAAAGAGGTGTTACTCTAGCTCCACACAGATAAAACCTCAGTACTAGCTTATAGAAGCAGAGGGATGAAGTTGGAAGCAGTCCGTTTCTGAAGGGTTAGAAAGAAAAAGGAAAGAGCATTAGGAGGCAGGCGGGCATGACAGAAGACTGAAAAACCAGCAACAGGGATGCTGTACAAAACAGACATGCCAAGCGGACAAAGTGACTGAGAGACAGAGAAGCAGGCTGGCAAAGTGACAGACACAAAAAGAAAAATAGGCAACAAATAAGCCAGCTGTACTTCTAGATCCTCGGAATCGGCCCTATCCAGCCAATCACCTTCTCACTCAGGAGACATAGTCCTAAAGAAAAGCAAGTATTTTACCTAAAACAGAAAAAAATACAATGTCAAATCCCCCCACACTCCTCTTCAGGCATGTTCTTGCAGCCAGCATCATAAAACATCTCTCATTATTTGCACAAATATAGAAGAAAAAAAAAATCCTGAAGGGTTAAATCCTTCAGCGGATGCAGAAAAGAAGGGCTTGGTGGGACAACAGGGGTGTTCTTCTAAGATGCTCCATATTGTAAGTAACCCCTGAGCAGTCCTTGCAAAGCATTTGGGGAGATTTTTAGTCTGAAAGACACTTTACAAAAATAAATTGTAATTGAGTTTAATAATCTTCCCCTTTTCAGAAAGGGCCTGACAGATGCTGCCTAGTGCTCACTTCTGCCCCATTTCAAATATTTTTACCTTATTTGGATGAAATATATTATTTTTCTAATGAAAGGAGGTTGTGGGTTGTTTTTTTTTTTTTCCAAAGAGCTGGTTTTCCCTTCGTCCAGCTGGTGCCTTTATTAGGTTAGTGCTTGCTCCCTTTTGGGGATGGGATTGTTTTTTTCCCTGAGCTGGGAGAGACCATGCCAGCCCCTCAATCTACAAGTGCGCAGTTCAGAGCTTCTACTGCACAGCAAGTGGAGGAGTTGGGCCCTGCCCTCCATCTCCCCTCTTCCCTGATACTCTGAAATTCACCTCAGGTACATTTCCATTATTTTATTTCATTTTTTGAGAGTGTGCATAGTGGTAAGAGCCAGCCTTTCATCAGCATAATAGGCGGACACAGCTCTAAAGGTGCCTACAGAGGCAGACTCCTGAGGAAGCAGCATAGTCTGGGGATACGACGATAAAAGGGACAACGAAGAAAGCTGGAAGCTCTCTCCTGTGCCCTTAGGTAAATTATTTCCTATGTTTCACCTCCCAGCATCCCTTTATTTATATTTTCAATCCCTGGAGGCCAAGCCCCTCTCTTGCTTTGCACTTGCATACCACCCAATGGTATGAGGGGTCAAGTCCAGGCTGGAAGACTCTCAGCTCAAGCTTAACATCAGTTTTTTGGTGTGCAGGGTCACCACCACATGTAATTTGTGCTTAACATAAAGCACCATCACACAGAAGGAACCTTCCAAAGCTTCCTGTTGTCGAAGCCCTTGGAAAACACTTATGGGCTCCACAACCTGCTGGGTGCGGAGGGTCTAGTCAAGCATGGAGACCTTGACTTTAACACAACAGGTTTGCAACAAAAAGCTACTCTGGACCTGTTGTCTATCCTTTGTTTTCCCCAGGCATCACACTGCCCCACCAAAGGAAAAGCAAAGGCAGCCTCCATTTCTGTAGAGGGCACTGCAAATGAAAGCAACGGAGCAGACACAGACTGGGTTTGTCCACAGCCCCCTCCCTGCCCCAGGCAGCAGCCCAGCATATACCATGCTTCCTTCCATCAGTACACATGACCTTCTGGCAACCCTTCTAACAAACCGCAGACCAGGGTGAGGTAGCCACTGGAAATGCAGCCAGTTCTCCCACTCTACTGAAGACAAAATCAAGAGAGAACATAGTTATTAAAAAGCACTTACTTGCCAGAAGAACCTGAGTTGCAATAAGCAAAGGCCAGATCTAAAATGTCCGCCTCCAAGCCAGGGCAAGCTGGCTAACCGACCAACGCAGGCTGCTCCAGGAGGGGAGTGCAGCTCCTCTCACACAGCCCTGCGGCCCAGGCTATTAGGAGACAGTGGCTACAGCTGGGTGGTGTGCTACGGGGGCTGGGGCTCTCGCTTCAGGGCACAGCAGTTAACAGGGGTTGGGGTTTTTGTGCCAGCTGCAGGACCCAGCATGAAACCTGGTTCCCAAAGTTGGCTTTCTCTGCAACTTGTCTTTGTCACCTCTCTGTATTAACAGCCAGTATTTTTTACCATCACATGTGGAAACTGAGGCATGCTTATAAGTAAAATACTTTGCAAAGCGTCATGCAGCAAAGCAGCAAGATTACAAGGGATCCTACAGTCCATCCTCTTCCTTCTGATCCCAAACACTGTTAGGTTACACCCCCAACACACAAAAGGCAGTAAAAAAAATTCTTCCTGCTTCTGACAAAGATGCACATAGGACTGATTTGTCACATCTAGGGGTGAGGAAGGTTGGACAAAGATGATCAGGAGACATCTCTCTTAACCCTTTCCCGCTTTGTCACATTTTCGGAGTTCCCCACATTTCTCCTGCAGCTATTGAAAAGGGAGTTTTTATATCCTCAAATTACTGGAAAGCACCAGCCTGATATTGTTTCCTCTAGGAGAGAGAGCACAGGCTCACAGGGTTTCACTGAAATGTGCTCAAATGACACTGTTCAGAGGAAGCTCCCTTCACCTGCTTTCTATACGCTATCAAGGACCTGTAGAAACCACGTTACGAACCCACTGAACTCACCAATCGGGGTGTGTTTTTATTCTTCTTCCTGTGTCAAAACAAAGGCTGATTACACAGTAAAATAGAGTACTCAAATAAGCCAGACGGTGGGTAACTGCTGCTGCTGTCTTTCTTGTTCTGCAGAAAAAAGGTTCGCTACCTGGTCATCTTTCAGCTAGTATGATGCTATTCTCAGTGCCTACTGGCCAGTGGGCTAAACATTTCACAGGGCAGATGATCTAAGAAGTTTGTTTCTAGCAAAAAAAAAAAAAGAAAAAAATTTACAAGTTAGCAGTCAGGCTACACGGTTCATAAGGACCAAAATACTCGCCCTAGAACTGTTGCTATGCTGGAAAGACAAGGAACACAAGACAGAGGAATAAAACTCGTGATTCACGACAATACCTGCTGGTAAGAAGGTCTGGCTTCTTCCAAATTCTCTGCTGGTGGGTTGGATCTCTTCAACAAAGTACTCAAACACCCCATCAGCAGCCAGAGGCCCACAGTTAGATTTTTTGAGCAACAACGGCTATGATGGAGTTTTCTGGGATTCATCAGGTTGGGGAAAGGAAAACCTGTGACCTATAGAATTAGTAAAGGTTGTAAGAAGCAAAAACTAAGGGAGAGAAAAGGGCAGTTGAAGAAAACTGCCTTTTACTCTGCACCAGAAATCTTGAGGTAAGTGAATTGAACACTGGCAACATGGAGGAAAAGGGGGGGAAAATGAACCCGCAGGGATGCTTGTACTGTAAACCTCGTAAGTCACTCTGCAAGGCACATACCTCAGCAACATATTTTCCACATTTCACCAACTGCTGTTGTCCAGGCACTTTCTATTTTCAAAACCTTCTATGTATATAAAATGTACACAGGCAGGACAATACTTTTTCATCACATCCCTGCGTTCAGTCATGTTTTCTTTTCACAAGGATTCTTGGCTTGGAGAAATGAAAAGTGCCATCTCTTAAGAAAAGCCTTTCCTTTTAAACGCTTTCAAATTTGCCCTGTTTTAGCTAAACGTGACGTTCTTTGTGAACGTTAAACAGCGGAGAGAGAGACGGAGAGGGAGAGGGAGAGAGAGACACACACACACACTCACTCACTCCTGGGGAAGATATTCGTCCATTTAAGGAATGAGAAATCATCACATTCAGCAGCAGGTCTAAATACAGTAATATGAAGGTCCCTTTCGCTCCCCCTGAGCAGGAAAATGTCACTGTGTACCAGACACCCAAATACTCGGGAATCAAGTAAATCCCTCATTTTTAAGAAGGGAGCCAAATACTTCTATTGAACAAAGATGGGACTGCAGTAGCTATGAATTACTTGCTGTACGCCATTTCTTTCAATGGCTTCTGTACTGACATGGCAGGGTTAGACCAGTCATGGGATATGGCTCAGCATTCCCTGCTGGCAGATAAGACTGAGGGGCCGTGGGATAGCTCACACGCTCCCTTCAGCACCTCCTGCTGCCGGGGGTGGAAAGGAGCGGGATGCCGCATTCTGCACCCTGCAGAGCCTCCTGCTGGGAGGAAAGGAACCGGAATAGCTGCATCTTACTCGCTGGATGATACATCCATCTCACCCTCTGCAACGTCGGAGGCAACCTAGCGTTACAGTGTTGTTGGAGCTATTTATATTGTACCTTATATTGCACTTACACCATTCTCTACACTGCCTCCTGCTGATGTAACCTAGTATTGGAGCAGTCAGAAAATCAACCATAAATGTCCTTCAGAAAACTTTTCATGAGGACTGAATTTCTGTAATAGTCCCTTTTCCCTCCCTTTACCACCCTGCATGCATATTTCTCCCCCAAAATAAGAGCCACAGTAATCCAGTAACAGCCTGGTGTTAAATAGTGGTAACTCATATTTATTACAATTATATACAATCGTATTTTATATTTGAAATCTATACATGATCACACAGATGAGCACACTTGCTTGGTGAGGACAGTGAGACTCGGTTGTTACAAGAATTGCTCTGCTAAGAGGCTCTGATGCAGTGAATAATATAATTGGACTCCACCATTTTACCAGCTGAGAACACAATGCTGCAAATGAGAGGTTTCAAAATTCACTGTTTTAATTTGTGTATAGCCCAAATGGGGCAAAAAAAGGCTGGACTGGGCAAGAAGGGCCAGTGGTGTACCTCAGAGCTGGAACTGTTTTCTCTTCTGTAAAGACTGCTGTGCTGAAGCAGGTGCCTGTCACTGGGTAGGTGCAGGTCTCAGCTGATCATTTAAGTTGGGTTTTCTCCTCAGGGAGAAAAACAGGCTAAGAACCATTGCAAAGATTCAGAATTAACCAACTATTTCAGCATCTGATGTCACCTCATTCATTCATTCATTCAGGGCAGCTATAAATAAAATGTAAGATGTCAAAAACGGATGTTGAGCTCCTTGTCTTTGGAGGAGGAAGGGTAATAATTGGGATGAGTGGGGTCAATTTCTTTTAAAGCCTTCTTTTACTGGGGAGCAATCAGTAACAAAGCCACCTGTTCTCATGGATTTTACTGTGGCCATGAAACCTGGACTTGGTCCCTAGCAAGAGGCCACTTCGATGAGTGTAGGCATGTGGGGTGGAAATAGTGTTCTTTGGACCCCACAGAAATTTAGTGTTTTTAGACGCTAGGTAGTTTCAGGAATTTGAGGCTTGACATAAGGCTTGGAAGAGCCAAGACTGAGATCTGGTGAGGAATTTGGGGTTAAAACGTTCTTTTTTTGGCAACAGAATATCAAGGAGTTTGAGAAATAAAACAGAGGGTTATTTTGGGAAACAGAGAACTGGTTTGGGCCTTATGTGGGGATTAAAGGCTTGTGAAATCAAAGAGCTCAGGACAGATTGGTTTCTGAAATTGGACAGAAGGACTCTAGGATGCAGCGAAGAGGCTGACTGTTTCAGGAGAGATGGTGTTTTTGTAAGAGGACTTATTCTGTAGCAGTGGTGCATGGTAAGGCGATTGGTCTTCCAGCCTAGGCAGTGACCCCAGCTCATGGGGAGAAGGTGGGTCTGGGAGGGGAGAAGAAGCCACCGCAACACTGCAAAGCCCTGTGGTGAAACAGGGCCCACCTTGTTCACTGGGCAATCATGACCCTACTCAAGGTCAATCATGGGAGAATCACTGGAGGGGATGGTGGCACTTCTCTCCACAAAATGGGAGAGGCACCGGGGACAGTGCAGGAGGCTAGGGAAGATGTACAGCAGCAGCAGCAGAAGCCAGGGTGCTTTAGTCAATCTCATTCTCGTTGCTGGCCCCCTCAGGTCTTCGTAGCTTTTCCACTTGCTCATTAATCTGACCATCCCCTCCTCGCCGGTCCTCAGTCTGGACACCCAGACATTCCTCCTCATCCACATGGCTAACATCATCATCCTCATCGTCCTCTTCCTCCTCTTCATTCCTTTTGTTTTCCCTTTTCTCCTCCTCACCCTGCACCTCCATCCGCACTTGGCTCTTGACGTCAATCACCGCCTTGTTGCCCTCCTCTGTGCTCAGCAGATGGCAGCTGACCTTCGAACCCTCAGGGCTGTGGTTCTCCTTGACTGGTGATGAGGTGGTAGACTCGTTGCTGACAGGTGAGATGTCACTGCTGCTGTTATGGTTGGCAACAACAGGGTTGGAGGGTGAGCTTGGCTTCACTGGGATCTGCCATGACGGGATCTTAGGAGCCGAAGGGGAGGGAGGGAACTGCCTCCTTGGGGGAGGGGAAGAGGGGAAGAAAAGGAGAGAAAGGGGCTTTTATTAAAAACACTGAGGGGTTATCATTAGAGAGAATGGTATTTGCACTGGGGAAGTCATGTAAAGCAGGACTGAAACTGCAAGTCTCCTTTGTCATAAATGAACAAAACCAAGGCCACTTCACTTCTTCAGCCAGAATCTCAAAGTGCTTTACAAGCACCCAGTAATCGAGCCTGCACACAAGGAAAGTATCACAACTGGGCAATCTGAAGTGCTAAAGTGATCTGGTTTGGCCAATTTCACAGAGTAAGCTAGCACTCAGGAATGCTGCCTGGGGAAAGACACGAGTGTCCCTTTATAAAACAATCACTAATTAATTGGTAAAGAAAATTCCCACTGGAGCAAGAAGTCAGACACACCAGGTCCTTGTGCCTGAGCCAAGGAATTTCACCACCTGGCTCTCACCTCCACTGTGATACACGGCTATTGCATGCTGGCTCATTACAATCCAGAGCCTATCTCCTAGTCCCAGCATGCACTTTACATGTTTGGGCCAAGTCTTGGCTGCCACAAACTGGTTCAGCTTCTCTGGCTTGAATGGAGTCATACTAGCTTGCACCAGCTGAGAAAGCTGGCTGCTCTGTCCTCGAGTCCTTTCCAGGTGGGCCTTAAGAATTTGATCGTGGCAGACTAATGCCCAGCCCTAATAGGAGAATCCAAGTACCAAACAGGACAAATGTAAGTGCAGTGGGGAGCACTGGTGCCCTCAGAAAGTCATCCATCATGAAGAACAAAGCAAAAAAGCATGTCTGATCTAGTACTCCCCGTGCATCCTTGCTTGTATGTGAAAAGTGGGAGTATGAAGAGGTATCAGATCAAGCTCTGAAAAGGATGCTGTGCGGCAGGGAGTTCTCATGCCCCTCAGGTGAGCTGGCTAGCGCCACGGACAAGACCAGAGCAGATGAAAACTGGCTGCTCTCCTACAGCGAGCACTCAAACACAGCAGATTACGTTTTCTTAGACTGAACTAGGAACAGTAGTTGCTCTCACCTCCCTCTTCCTGCTGCCACCACCAGCCATCGAAGAACTCTGCTGATCTAACCTCCATATCCTGTGAGTGCAATAAGCTAATGTCTGCATTATTCAACCAGTATCATAAATGCAATCAACAAATTCAATCTGGAGACTTTCTTGGCTCCAGTGTTGCTGCTGCCTCCTCACTGCAGAAACATTTGCCTTTTTGTTAAAAAACAACCCCCCAAAAAGTTTTCTTTTTTTCCAAAAAGCACTTATCCCCCAGCTGCAACTTTCCCATTGCTGAAGAGGTGTCATTAACTAATGCTCTCTCCCCCAGCAGTGATGCTAGTACGACCCAACTTAACAGACGGTAACTTAATATGTGTCCTCAATCCTCCAAAGCTTTCTACTGTGACTCCTGGGAGGACTGGGAGGTGTAGCGAGAATTTAAAAGGATATTAAAGACAATACACTTTTCAGACTTCTGAAAAGCCCACGTGCTGAGATCCAGAACATGTCTAGTCCAATCTTAGACTGATCTTTGAAGTCCATCTCTTAGGAAACAGATGACTTGAGAAGACTTAGTTACATGTAGAAGGAGACAAGGGAGTCGTATCAGAGTGAAAGGATCAATAGCTGAAAAGCTAGATAAACTCTTAGGTAATGTACTTGGAAAAAAAGAATTTCCTCAAGAACTGAGATCTGATCCCTGTTCTTACGACTGTCCCACAGGCTGGGATTTATATCACCTCATTTCAGATATCTACTACATTATAAGATGTCTATACCTGAGCTAGCTAATCGAGAGAAACAGGCTCTGCTGAAGTGCAATTCTTTTCATCCTGGTTATGCCCTAACCATGAACAGGTCAGCTGAACTGTATCCAGAAGTGACTCTCTCTGTAACAGAATACAGGTGCAGATGCAGTCAGTACCTCAAACTAGGTGAGAGGTATCCTGACTGTGGCGAATGGCAGAGAACTCCTCTATCGTAAACAAAAAGGAAAAAAATCTCATTAATTACCCAAAGCACTCTATGATTTAAGGCAAGTTTGAAAAGCATTTTGAGACCTGCAAATAGAAAGTGATAGTGGAGTGCAAAGTGGTATTATTAAAATAGCATTAACAGGATATAGAGCTAGTTCCTGTTGGAAATGCCTTTCCTCTCCATGATTAAGAGAATCCCAGAAAGCAACTCTTTCTCCGCACAATAATCTGCTCACATATTCCATCCATACCGGTTCAGGAGAAGTCCTTTTAACGAGTATATCTCAGATTTCAGTTCATTAATATTCTGCGACTCCAGAATCCAGTTGGTGGAAGTTGTGGCCTAGAACATGAAAAAGAAGACATAACGATCAAAGTATGAACTCGGAGATAGTTCACAAATGTCACTTTTTTCTGTGTTATCCTCCCTCTCCTCCCATCTGGGAATCTCGAGCCCTGGGGATAACATACATAAGCTCTATCATTTAAAATCTCTCAGATCTGAGCAAAACAACTTCCACAATAAAGAAGGACCTGAATGGGTCCCCACGATGAACAGAAATAATAATTGTCTCGATGCTAAAACTGTTCAAATATTTGCTTTCTGTTTGGGAGACTAATTAATCTTGTCTCCAACATACCATGCACAACCATTGCTGAAGCATCTCAAGGGGACCTTTCTTTTTCGATTAGAAGGAGGCCAGCACTTGTGAGAATTCAGACAAAGCTAGGTCTACATAGGATGTTTTCCACCAACATATCAGACAGAGAACAACACACAAAGAGGTAAACTAAATCATTTGACACTGACCTAATGAATGACTTCTAGAGAACTAGAACTAGGATCCTGAAAGGCTGTGGGAGTTGCACTGAATCAGGTCCTTTACTCTTTCCTGTGACTGCACTTAGCTGAGGCAACAGATTCAAGTATTATATATTAACAACTATTTTAAAACCATTTATTCATTTCTCTTAAATCATGAAATAAAGAATTGATTACCTGCACTCTGGTGTTTAGAGGTGGGCTGATAAATTGATGCTTGAAAGTTGCAAAAATTTTCCCTACTAGATCTGAAGAATTAGAACTATGCTTGAGTTACCAGATTGTATCTCCAGGAAGCAGCTGGACTAGGCACTGTCTCTCGGATATTTCAAGGCAATGAATGTAATTTGGTGGGGAAAGATGATAAGTAACTCATGGAAGCCTGGTACAGCTGCTGTCAGCACTGCATCAGAATTGCTATGGGATATCAGGCAGAAATTAGAGTAAGGTGACAACTGAGAAGAACATGCTGCAGATAATACTTTTGGCACTCTTTCTTTTAACTCTTCTGGGAACTTGAGAAATGGGAGGAACATTCTGAAAGACAGATCATGGCCTATGGTTACCCCATCCTATCACTCTAGCAACTCCTGTAGCAATGGGCTGAGTACAGGACCAAAGAACACTCATGTCTAGCACTTCGCATGGTAATTTCTGCTAAAAGCCATTAGGAATGAACCCATTTGTGAGCATCGCTCCAGAGATACCCCTAATAAATCCCCTGACAAAGGAAGCCAGGACTGGAATAACACAAAACTCCTCCTCAGCAGTTCCTACTAGATGTAGCCAGAACTGGTTGTTCCTACTTATTCTTTAAACAGACTTCAGCTAGTGCTGAGTAACCCTGAACACCTCCACAGCCAGCACTCCTCACAGTGACTTCTGGGCTGTGAACCCAGTGAGCTGGGAGAGGCTCAGTCTGTAGTAGCTGTGATATACACAGATGCGTTCCCTTGGGATTCACACTCCCAGCCCTCAGACAGCAAGAATCCAGGAGCCACTGTTCTGGCTTTCCAAGACCTTGAAAGCTACAGCAGCACATTAACAAGGGAGTGATTTCCACTCACTGGCCTGCAAAGGACTCAAATTTCCAAAACACATATGGTGCCAGATGCCTAGGATTTAGAAATAAAATCTGACATCTGGGGCTTTTTAGCCAGTCTCTTTAAAAAACAGTTGTAGAAAATTCAAGCCTTGAATTTTTATGTACGTTTTTTAATTACTTAAAGTCCCTCTTTTTAATTTTTTACAGCATGCCAGTAGGAGTTTGAAAAGCAGATATAAAAACTTACATTACAGCTGAGAAAACACAGCTTTTATTCTTTGGTTTGTGGGGTTGCCCAAGTTTTTCTTTGTACACATGAGGTTTAGATATCATAACAATGTGTGCTACCATTTCAGTGCAGGGGGTAGAGAGGGGGGAGGAAAAACTTCTTCAAGACTCTCTAAACCACCAGGACTCTTATGCCCTTTTTCCTTCTTAAAGCTCAACATGTGGTCTTAATCTTAACACTTAAGACCTGAAAACAGTTTTCCAATTTCCGGACTGGCTCCAGGCCACTGACAGGCCACAGTTCCCAAGGAAAACTGAAGTAGAGTGTTGTGACCATAAACTGGCTTTCATGGTTGGGTTTACAGCTGTGCCACTGAGGGTTTCCTACTGTACAGTGTGCACACCACATAGTCAGCCGTGGCCCACCAGTTACACAGCATCAAAGGGTTTGTACAAGATTAAAGTATAGGTAAGGGGAGAAGACAACTGTTCATGCTATAGGTAAAAGACTGTAAGCATTGTCTAAGGGATTTCACAGTAAAAAGAAAAATCTCTACCTGTACAGAGAATACTGCAAGATGACTGGGCCCTGAATAATCACAAGTTTGTGAGTGAAAGGAAGACTTCATCTCTATGTGACTAGTTCAAATCCATCCCACCTCACATGTAACCAACACTTCCTGGACAATAGAATGCTTAGGCCAATGGCTGCAAAGTACTTTGGAGATCATAGAATCATAGAATATTTTGGGTTGGAAGGGACCTCTAAAGGTCATCTAGTCCAACCCCCCTGCCGTGGGCAGGGACATCTTCAACTAGAGCAGGTTGCTCAGAGCCCCGTCCTACCTGACCTGGAATGTTTCCAGGGATGGGGCATCCACCACCTCTCTGGGCAAC